AATACACCCAAGGGTGTGCCACAGACCCACGAAAGCAATTTGAAATACGCAGCAAATGGCAGAGTGGAGATTTGACAACAAAACGAAAGCAAAACATAACAAAAGCATAGGAAAAGAAACACTGGGAAAAAAAGCGAAACACTATACGAAAGGACACATGAAAGAAAGGATCAAGCGTGATCGCTGCGCATGGATACCCATGAAGCGAGTGCACTACCGGACGTAGCGAGCATAGTGGTGAGAGTCTTGCTTCAAATGCATGCGAAGAAGACACGTGATTTGAGAGAGAGAGACTAGTTTTCCTATTTTGTAAAGATACTTTTTGACATATTTATGCGAGAAGGAAAAAATTGAGCATAGCAGGGATCTGGAAGCTGAGGAAATTGCTTTATAACTTCAGAGAATCATTCTGCAAATTTGGGACACCAATTTGACATCAGCGTTCGAAAACACATTTCGCGATCTATCTCTTAATACTCATGACCACTTTGACGTGAGACCATCTCCAGCGCTAAGGAGTTCTTAATAACCCATCTTATACACCAGATTTCTCTCTTCGACACACGGAATGGCCCCTGCTATGTTCAATTTTTTCCTTCTCGCATAAATATGTCAAAAAGTATCTTTACAAAATAGGAAAACTAGTCTCTCTCTCTCAAATCACGTGTCTTCTTCGCATGCATTTGAAGCAAGACTCTCACCACTATACTCGCTACGTCCGGTAATGCACTCACTTCACGGGTCGCCGTGCGCAGCGATCACGCTTGATCCTTTCTTTCATGTGTCCTTTCGTTCGCGCAAACCTTAATAATTCCTATCAGAGAATCGTTCTGCAAATTTCGAAGTCAGGTTTGAGATCAGCGCCTGAAAAGTCCCATGATCTATGTCTCATTACTAACGGCCACTTCGATCTGGGCACCAACACTAATCAGTATGTAATGGAGTGACTATGAACAAGGGTTGGGAATCCGTCCAGGAATTCTTATCGGGGCTCATATTTGGAGAACAATAGTCAATTTTGATAGGATTCCACAAGGTGTGTGGAATAAGGGTAAAAAGTGGAACGAATGAAGCGGTAGTGCGGATGACCCACTTGAGTGAGACAGATTATTATACTGTATACATTTAAGATGAAATCCTTAGGTCTAACGACACTCGCCTTAGAGGTGAATAAGAATAGGAGTATGAGTACAACCGGATTCGTGGCACACCCCGCGACTGAGTTCAAAAGCGTCCTTGCGCGTCGACCGCTATTACTCCTAGGTAAAGGACGTTTCCTGAAAGCATTCTGTGTGTCCGGGAAGTAGTTGTGAGCAGAGGTAGAAATCCCACTTTGAGGCTAAAAAAAAACTCTACCGCTTCACTTCGCAGCAGCATTTCCCTGATCGAGCTTCAGAAGAGAGACGCAAAAGATATTAAGAAGGGAATCATCGCAGTTCTCAATGTTATTTATTTATTTATTTATTTGAATACACCCAAGGGTGTGCCACAGACCCAGGAAAACAATTTGAAATACGCAGCAAATGGCACAGTGAAGATTTGAAAACAAAACAAAAGCAAAACATAACAAAAACATAGGAAAAGAAACACTGGGAACAAAAGCGAAACAATAGGCTGCGAGCAGAAGTCAAATGCATGGACAACTTACTCATCGTGCATAACCCGAATGAGAACAACGCGGAAGAACACTCTACTCATAACGAAGTGTAAAATACACTCCAGCTGAGAAACTCATATACAGGGGGGGGGTGGCAAAAAAAGTCACTTTTCTTCATTGACTTTGGCGCTATAAGTTACACTTTATTAAATTCTGATCGGACATTTTTACCACCATATTAAAGAGCATATTAAATACTATCATGACACTCCGCCACAGCCTTCTGGACGAGCGCCATCGAGAGATTCTGGCACGCGACCGCGATGTGGTGCCTGAGATCAGCGAGATAGTCGATTTCTCCGCCACCGTAGACCACCCTATTGAACTCCGCCCGAACCGGGTAATTGAGGGGATTCAGGTCAGGTGACCTACTTGGATATTCCATCTTCTTTAGGTACTCAACGCCCTTCCATTCCAAGTAGGCGAGAGTTTTCCAACGCCCTTCGATTCCATGTGGTGGCACCCAATGCTGTAGCAGTACAAAGTTTCCAAGAAGGTACGGGGACCACATGTGAGGAGGATATTCTTCACGAGTTGCCCAATGTAACCGCCAGCGCTCACCTTCAGTCCGGGGTCCACGAAGAAAATATTGGTCTTTCCATTCCAGGTACGTCCGGTCCATACCATCAACCCGCGCCTTGGCGACTGTGGTGAAGATGATGTCCTAGACCGTGGCGACGTTGTCGGAGCTGCTCGATGTTGGAGGTCATCCAGATCGAGAGTACTGGTCTCCAGGTAGCTATCCATGGGTGACTCCATACTGGTGAGATGAATTCCAAAGGTCTTCTCCAGTCAGGCTGCGACTGGAGATGACTTCATATTTTGGTGTACATGAAGGTGATGGGCGAGAGCCAGCTCCTGCTTATCGAGGAACATCTTGGGTATCTTCCGCCCTGGTACTCGTATCCACGCCCCTCCCCCTCCCCCCCCCCCATTGTAGTCGTTTCCGCTTTATTATGGCTTTGAGTTCGCCCTTGCTTCATGTTCGCAAACACACAGTGAGTCGGTATCCTTCACTCTCTTTTATCAAACACATATTTTGACTGAAGACTGTTAACTTCACGAATATTGTTCAGAAGTCTTATCCCAGTTGGAGCATGCCGCATCCAGAAAAATCTGCAGTATTTTGCAGACTAGAGTCTCCTGAAGTGTTTTTTTTTATTGTCTTTTCTACCTGAACTCTTGACTAATGATGAAGATGTTGAAATTGAAAGTTTTTTTCAAGGTGTATTTGTAATTGGATGTTCAAATCGGATAGAGCTCGTAGACTTGGCATTGTTACGTCCAGGAAGATTCGATCATGTTCTGGAATGTGGCATACCAAATGAGGTAACTATCTTTCTCTGTTTTGTGGGAATCTCTTTTTGAAGGCAGTTGGCACGTAAGTCCCTAAGACAAGTAGCATTAATATGCTTGGCAGAACGGAATTCCGCTCCCTGAGCAAGCGGTACGTAACGCCTTGTTTTTGGGAGGTACCCTAATAAAGCCCTATCAAGCTGCCATAGCTGGGGATCTGAATGGCCATGTTGGGAGGGACAGAAGGGGTCTAGAAAGGGTGCACGGAGGTCAAGGAATAGGGACAAAGAACGCTGAGGGAGAACGGATCCTTGACCTAGCCACAGCCCACGACTTAGCAATCTGCAGCACCTTCTTCGCGAAAAGGAGGACCCAAGGTAACCTACAGCAGTGGAGGGAGACAAACGGAAATTGACCATGTCCTGGAACATACGACCCAGACACCCACTGCGCTCGCCCGCTCACAAATTTACGACCGTACTTGTTCCATTTGCGAAGTAAAGTATGAAGCGAAGGGATTGGTATGAAGCGGCTGCGGTGCTGCATGGATATATGAGTACATACGTGCAGCCGTACCTACCGTAGCGGTTATTGGCAAGATGCCTACGGGAAACTCGTCCGAAATCGTTTTATGCGTCATGAAGAAAAATGGTTTTTCTCGCAGGTTTTTGATAGCGTCACTCCGTTTTTTCGCTATTTTCCCCACTATATGGCACCGTGC